AACTATTTATTTTTTAAATTAATAACAATGTGACGATTTAGTAAACATCTTTGACAGGATTAAAGGGTGGGTCCAGAGGTGATTGAAGGGGTTCGGACTTACAAAAGTCTTCAGATCAACGAAAACCACAGACAAAATTTACTTTCCTCTTCATTGATTGATTGATTGATTGTATGTTGTTTTACGTCCCATTCGAGAATTTTTCACTCATATAGAGACGTCACCATATACCGGTGAAGGGCTTTAAATATTGACCTTTACTCGGCAATCAGGGCCATTGAGCAGTGAGGGATCTTTCTCGTGCCAACGCCTGCCGTGACACGGGGCATCGGTTTTTAAGGCTTCATCCGAAGGACCAGCAACTTTCACTTCAAAATGCCGAGCGCTTGGCGAAGGAACAGTTGCTACCCATTTTTTATCGACTTAGGTCAGTCGCGGCCGAGATTCAAACTCACGACCTCCTGATCACGGAGCGAGCGCTCTACCGACTGAGCTACCGTGAACGGTTCTTCATTCATTCAACCTTCATGTAAATATAGTAATGTATGAGTAACCAATTAAATACGATAACTATTTATAAATAAACCACTTGGGGCTCGCAGGATACATAACCAATACAAGACTTCACACACATGATTACATGTAATAAACATTGAACGGAATATTAGAGACCCGCTATACACATCTAGGACTTTGAGAAATTGTGTAGAGTAATGAAAGTAAGCAATAAAATTATATATGGACCAAAATTATTATTTTTTTCGGTTTGATGGCTAAAACATTATTTCTTGCATTTTTATTTCATCAAATGACCTGTTTATTATAAATATATACCACGCTTTATTTAACTAGTAAACTATTTTTACTTCCTGTTAAGTTAAGCTTATCGGGAAAAAAAATGAAATGAATAAATAAATTAAAAAAAAAAAAAGATGAATAAAATTAGCACTTGAATATTTCAGTGTATTAAAATTTTTAATAATACTGACTTGTCTTTTCCTCCTGATTTTACCAAGTAAAATTTTATTTCTTATTAGTTTTATACTTTAGTACTGAAAGCAAAACCACATCAAGTATTTACTCCCTTAGTTTTAAATCCTGGGTTCGCCGTGAGACAATTAAACATTACAACTCTAATTCTGGTATTGAAGTGTTTGACAATGTTCTTCTTTCTTTTCATTGAATTTCTTTTCTTCTTTCTTTTTCATTGTTCTCACTGTGTGAGAGCGAGGGTGCTTTGTATATATTCCATGCAATTGGTAGTACGTTAATTTTCAGAATCATTTTGTTCAAAATGGAAATTGTAATTTAAAAGAGGAAAAAGTATTAAAATTTTGAAAAAAATAAGAAAGATTTCTTTTTTAAAAAAATGAATCATAGCTAATTTTAGACAACTTACTCCAACTTGCCTCCGGCAATATTCAATACTGTTATCTAAAGCAAGAAGGTACAGAGAGGGCGTGGGACAGAAATGTGTCTTTTAATTGTATATATGTTGCTAAGGATATTTTCGAAGGCGCTGTTAATAAAGCGTCAGTGAAGATTTAAACAGATACCAGAAATATATAATTATAAGTTTCTTAATTCTCTCGAGGTTTCAATGCACAGTCATATGAGTCTTTGAGATAATGTTAAGTGAAAGAAACATTGAGAATCAGAAACGTCAAAGCCACTTGATCCGCGCAGAAAAACGCACTCCTAATAAATACTTCAAATGTTGTTCACGAAAACCATTCTCAATTTTGTTTTTATTTATTCTTCAATATGTAAAGAAATTAGAATGAATATAATTATAAGAGTAAGCATTAGTTTGAATTATAGCGTAAGATTCCAGGAAACATTAATATGTATACTGGTGTCTCATTATATCGCAATACTTATTGTTTTGTGCATAAAAAAATATTCCAAATTCTTACTTTAACTTTTCATCAAATGCTGTTCATAAACCTAACAATTGCCCAACTTTTTCGTGGCAAATTATTCCCCAAGCTTGTGGTCTATTTTTAAAACAGGAAGTCTTAATTACCTCCTAAAGTGGAGAGTCTCATCGCGGTACGGAAAAACATGTTCCATGCTTTTTAATCATCACAAAAGTCAATATTCAGACGACAGACAGATAGTCCATCAACAAAAAGGATATGAGCTATATATCCACATATTTGGAATATACCGTGATACAATGGAACCTACGATCGACATAATGCGCATTGACGATACAAGGAAAAAAAACAACATAATATTACAAAAACTGCTGGGAGTCCAGCCCTTTATTCTACGATGGTTGTCCCAGAAAATGCAAATATTTCAATGTTTTTGTTGTACTAGAGTTATAAAGTTAAAAATTGGCTTACAAAATAAGCAAATGTTATGAAATTTCAATAAAATATCTCTAAAAATAGCATGTTTTTAAGTAAACAAATCTTACAGAAACACTGACGACATCAAAATGTAACTCAGGAATTATACATTGGATACTTTTATCTATCATCCAGGAGATGTGTGTTAAGTTGGCATTGTAAATGAGATTTTAAAAGCATCAGAACATTTACATTAATCAACATCTTAAAATATGATAAATTGTCTCTGCAAATGAGAAACTTTATAAATTTTGTTTTCCAAGAAAAATTCATAAGGAAAATTTATTTCGGTCTCTGCCATTCAAAGGAGATAGTTATAAATAACTGCGCTACGTTATAAGTGATAAAGACTAATAATAGTGCTGACCTATATATATATATATATATATATATATATATATATATATATATATATATATATATATATATATATATATATATATATATATATATATATATATATATATAGGGTCTTCAGGCTGTTGTACAAATGTCAGGTAGGTTACCTGGTAACGTCCAAAAGCAATATAGTTACTTACCTGACATTTGAATAACTACCTGAACTGAATAGCCTATGACATGGCGGAAGCACTTGCGATACAAATGATTGGATTGTAAAAGCTTGAGAGATGATGACCACTGCAGACATAAATATATATGATTTCATCATCACTCAATGCTATTTTTCTTTAGTTTGATAAAAAAATTACAGAAGTACGTGAAATTTTTAGATTATAAATTTGAATATATTATTCCAACAAGACGACAATGAAAAATTGCATTTGACACAGATTTACGATAACTGAGAGGGAAAAATGTGTGGAATCTCCAAGAACTAGCGCAATGACTATTTTTCCTCAGCAATTATGTAAATGTAAAAGTAGACATGTTGAAGAAGTTTCGAAATTTATATCTAACGGAAGGGAACTATTTGTTAATCTGAATCTTATGTGTAATTAATTCAATATTTCTCAGCGTCTTGCGAATGATTTTTGATATGTACAAGGTACAGTCTTAAAGAGGAATTCTTCTCATATTTATTGTATTTAAGAATAAATAAAATCTTCACACAAACAAGAAATCAATATCACTAAGTGATGGTATTATTTCAGTTAATATTGACCATCTTATTTAAGTAACAAGGGCAGGTCAAGGTCACCTTGTTTTCCTTGACCTATGGGTAAAAAGTTTATGTTGCCTGTTATGCCAATATCTATTAATATGTAGTATTTATTAATCCAAGTTCCTATGGGAAGCGATCATCATGTAGGGGAGGATACTTTTTCTGTCCCTAATTTTGTAGTTTCTATTCCAAGTTCCGTTGGAATGTTAGTATAAAGACTAACAAATTTCAAACGTAACTGATTTAGTATTATCATTTACAATGTCTGGTAAATAATTCAGAAAGTCAAGATCATCTCTGGTGAAAATTGGTACCTTTTCACAAAACGGCTTTAGCAATATATCTAATAAATGGCTCAGATTTTTGGGTAGACGAGTAAGGACCTCCAACAACAGATCAGAAAGATAGATCCACTGGAATAATCCAGGTAATATATTCTGAATTTTGAGATTCTATTGCGTTCTTAAGATCTTTCAATTTATAAACTTTTAGGTAAGCCGTAAAACTCCGTCATCCTACAAATACATGACAAATTAAGATTTTTTTTACGTCGCTTACAAATTTACCGTTGTAATATCTTAGCTATAAATTTAAAGATCGATTTCAACTAAAAGACTTAACATACACATTTTTTTTTTTCAGTATTTACCGATATATATGCAGTTAAAGTTTCGATATGACCATAATATAATGTCGGTGCAAATCTTAATGTCGCTTCATTTATTTAGGAATTTCAAGATGAAATTTTCAGCCGTAAAATCGTTCCGAATAGATTGCAATAATTGTTTTAAAAAAAGTTTTTTTTATCCTATATAAAAAGAAATCAAACCACTTCTCGCAAAGAAATGCATGGATCTCCTTTCATGCGAAATCATAGCATGTCGCTTAAAATCGATTAACTTCTGTAACGACTTTGTTTTAAATTTCACGCACAGAATGCAGATTTCAAAAAGAACTGTGTCCGCGGAACCTAATATCATCGATTCTAGTTGCGAGTCAGCAGACTGAGTATTACCCGCATTAACGGTCGCAAAAAACGAATGAGAAGATGAATATTCCCATGCTAATGAATTTTATACATATTATTTGATGTCTACACCTTATTTCTTTAAGATTAAATGCGCAAGGAAAGGTTATGCATCTTTCTACAGTGACTTCACAAACAAAACCTTTCACTCTCATTTATTCTCTTTTAATTGCCTCAAACATTAGAGCAAATGAAAATGCAGATTACAAAATAGTTGCATTTGAATTAAGAATTAATGCAAATCTTATGTAACGTACCGCTTTTGATATATCTTTTGAATCACCTCTTAATTTAATTTAACATATGTTCAAGCTGATACATGTACACACAGATGGCTTTTATTTCATTCTCATCTGACAAGTTCAAAATAATTATGTTCTTGTTATTTTTGGAGAGAAAAAAAAATATATGATTTCATATCTTGCTCATAGTGCATGAAGAGTGATGCGTCATGTAATTTATTGTATATAAGGTGAAAGTTATAAAACTAAGGAATTAATGAAAAAGATATCCATACTCTTGTATAAAATAACATTTGAAAAGGACAAAAATATGAAAAACTTGGAATTGTTTTTCATTTTGACACTTTTTTGTACTATTTGCGTAAGTATTGACATTTTATTTTATCGTTTTAATAATTTATTTTTGCTCAATGAAATAATTTGTTAAAATTTGTACTGATGTTGCATGTGCTTGTAGGCGGGGTCCAGGGGATTAAGATCTACTTCAAAAGTGGAGAAAGTTAACCAAAAAGCAAGGTACAAATCTACATCTCTCTCTTCTTACAATCACTCAATAAATTGTTGCATTAAATTAAATAAATGCAAAAAAGACTTTTCCTACATGATTCTCTTTTAGACGATGCTCAAGCAAAGCGAGAACCCATCATCTCGATGACAATTCAAATGAAAAGCAGGTATCTCTCTCTCTCTCTCTCTCTCTCTCTCTCTCTCTGATTACAATATTTTATTATTTGTGCTATGATTATGATGATGATGATTTTTTTTATTATTATTTTAATACTACTAATCATAAACGAACTGACATTTCAAGTTTAAATTTACAAAGATAATTACTGTAAAATTTAAACAATTACTGACATTTTACTGCCGGTACTTATATACTTAAAAAAAAGTGCTGACAATCTTAGCCGGTGCTGTTAAACTAAGACAATGACTGACCCGTTTTACTCTCCAAGCTGAAAAAGTGAAACAAGCACGTGCTTGAAAAGTACTTTCCTATTGCTTTCTCTCTCTCTCTCTCTCTCTCTCTCTCTCTCTCTCTCTCTCTCTCTGATTAACCTAAACAATTAGCAACCCATTTACTGTCCTTGCCGAAAAAAATACTTTTAAAAAAGACGAGAGCTCACATTAACTTAAAAGTACTGTTCCTTCTTGCTCTCGGGGAGACTGCAGTGTTATGAAATTGTGTTCGTTAAAGTTTCAATTTAGAAAAAAAAATATTTTTTTTCTTGAAATAAGTTACATTCCCAGTCAGTTGATTAAGCAACGAACTATTACTTTTTAAGAATGTAGTCTCATAACTGCAACGTTGTGTGCAAGCAAAATGAATAACGCTGGCTACTTTGTTTGCGCTCCCCATTGCAGTTAAGAGAATACATCTTTTTTTTTAAAAAAATAATAGTTTAATGCTTATCTTATCTAAGCAAAGTGAATGTAGATAGCTCAAGATATAGTGTAATCCCGTCTAACAATTGGATTTTTAGGTCACTTGAATCACTTTGGTATTTGTTTTTGTCTGTCGTCGTTCGTTTGAACCTTTTCAGTTTCTTTTCGAGAACTGCTGACCAGTTATGATATATATAGCATCTATGGATGAAGGGAAACAGAATTTATTAATTTCATAGTCCCTGCCTCCCCCTTTTTTGGGGGGTTGTGGTTAAAAGCCATAAAATTTTTGCAATGTTTAAACATCTTCTTCTTAACTCGTGGACATCAAGGAGTTAATCTTTTGGTATGATTGTAAGAAGCACAAAGCCCTCTAACTAAAATGTAAAATTTATTGCTACTGGATCAGGTGTTCCGGAGTTAGCTTCGAGCTCTATTAATCATAAAGTGAAAATTCATTATTTCTTTGAAAATCTTCTCTCTCCTCGGCACAGGTACAAAAGAAAACAAAAACAAACTCCATGGAAATGATGATTAAGAGGCTAGGAAAAAAGCAAAAATCAGTTCAGTATTGAGAAGCTTAAATGCATATAAGGGGTTCCGACCTAACCCTAAAATGGAAGGTGGCTCTTTTGAATAAAATGAAATCTACACTTACTAAGGATGCTTACATATTTCTCTGACTGTGTTTTTTTCCTACAAGTTTGAACTTTTATTGTGGCCCACCCTACCCCCGGGGGTCATGAATTGAACACGCAGCACAGTTAAGGCTGCAATAAGGAGGCGGGGCCTAATTTATACGAGAAATGCTTACTATGACATCACTCAAAAAAATAAGTTCTTCAAATTACGACTAAATGAAATGATTTGCTATTTTAAACTGTTGGATAGCTTTAAACGACATGAATACTAACTATTGCATGCATTATTGTAGTTGGTTAAATCCCACACAGCAATATATAAACAATTCACTGATCACAATGCACTTGTCATTGTGACGTCATATCGTAAAATTTGACGCAGTTTGTATGCAGTGAGAGGGGGATCAAGTTATATTTTATACAATGAAAATTGTATTTTGTAATTAAATAAAATATCATTTGCAGATATATTACAGGCCATTAACTTGGATGCGATGTCTATTTTATGATTTTATTCATATACTTCCAATACATTCACTAGACAAGCGATACTGGCGTATATTTGTATGCAGATTAATTGAAGGGTAATAGAAGGGTCGTAATAAATCGATGTATTGCAAGGGCATACCATCAATGAATTATGACAAGCTTTTACACATAAACTCAAGAAGTATGAAGATATTTTAAAAGTGCTGCGAACCTGTTAAATTCTTGGAAATGAATTAATTATATTTATATTTAATGTACTTGACCAGCGAGATATTCAACATACGGTCTAACAAATGTAATTTTAACAATTAGATAGTAGAATCTATATAGGTTCGCAGCACTTTTCACAAACTACAAAGAGTGTTGAAAATAATTATAAATTAAACTTAGATTTTTAACTTGGTTATGCCCTTACAATATTGGAATTTATAGATGACCTCAATATTTCAGGTATATTTGCTAAAATCACGTGACTGCAACATCACGTGACAAGTCTAAATAAAAAATCTAATCGTCCTCAACATGTAGTTTTCAACCATATTGCATTTGTGCGATAATAGTAAAGTCCTAAAAAGAAACGCCCATCCTTGTAAAGAATGCATTTTCTATCTAAAAAATACGCCGATATTTCCATTTGGCACCTTAACTGTACTGCGCAATTTTGAATCTACACCACCTGAAGGTGTTTCCTTATAAATATGACTAATCATAGCTTTGCTGTTCTTGAGAAGATCTTCCCCCGGGGGTCATGATTTGAATAAGCAATCATGACCCCCAGCTGCACGGGGTCATGATTTGAACAAACTTGAATCTACACTACCTGAGAATGCTTCCATATAAATATGATCAATCATGGCATTGCTGTTCTTGAGAAGAAAATTTTTGAAGATTTTTCCTATATACTCCTATGTAAAACTTTGATCGTTCATTGTGGCCACTCCCTACCCCCGGGGGTCAGGATTTGAACAAACTTGAATCTACATCACCTGAGAATGCTTCCATATAAATATGACCCATCATAGCTTTACTGTTCTTGAGAAGATTTGTAAAGATTTTTCCTTTATATTCCTATTTAAAACTTTGATCGTCCATTGTGACCCAACCCTACCCCCAGGGGTCATGGTTTGAACAAATTTGAATTTACACTACCTGGCAATGATTCCACATGAGTTTCATCTTTCTTGATCCATTGGTTCTTGAAAAGATTTTTTAAAAAAATGCCATTAATTCTCCCCTATTTTGTAATTATCTCCCCTTGGAAGAGAGCGTGGCCGTTCATTTGAACAAACTTGAATCCCCTTCACCCAAGAATACCCTGTGCCAAGTTTGGTTTAAATTGGCCAAGTGGTTCTGGAGAAGAAGATGAAATTGTAAAAAGTTAACGACGACGCCGGCAACGACAAGGACGACAGACATAGGACAAATTTTGATGAGAATAGCTCACTTGAGCCTTCGGCTCTGGTGAGCTAAAAACTCGCTGCCATAACCTTGAAGCGCATAATTTTTTAGATATCCTCTCCTCTTCCCTGTATATTGAACAGTTAAATGAAGTGCACAGGAATAATGAGAAAGATTGCATCTTCCAATATTATGAAATTTGTGGCAAAAGCCAGGGTTCCTGGTGCGTGTCTTTGTGTGTGTGTGAGGGGGGATAGGGGCTCTATTGGTTTATGTAGTAAAAATGCATTAATTATTTGAAGATCCTCTTCTCTGTTTCTGAGAATTAAACAAACAAATTACGTTCATAATTTGAACAAGGATGCCTCTTTGAAAATTGTGAATTTCATTGCACTGGGTCAGGAGATCCAGTGTTAGGGTTGGGTTCTTTTGATTTTATAGTGAAAATGTATTATTGTTTTGTTTTCTCTGTTCCTTGGTATTAAGAAAACAAACTACATGTAAGTGCAAAGTTAAAATGAGCACGAGTGCCCCTTCTATAACTGTGATTTATGGCCCCTGGGTCAGGGGTTCTGGTGTTGAGGTGGGGCTCTACTGTTTATATAGTGAAAATGCATTATTTCTTCAAAACTGTTCTATACCCCTGAATATTAGGCAAAAAATAATGCATACTTATGACGAGCAAGGGTGCATCTTTAATTATTAAATTTGTAGATTCAGGGACAGATGCTTCAGTGTGTTTGCCTGGGGGAGGGGGGGACTTATTGATTATATAGTGAAAAGATTTTTTCTTTGAAATTCTCTAGCTATGCTACTGGGTATATAGCACTCAAACTAAGTACAAAGTTATAAATGGCAAGCTCCTGGATCAGGGATTCTGGTATTAGGGAAGAACTGTGATGAATGTAAAGAGACACTGCATTATTTTTGTAAAAATTATCTCCTTTGCTCTCATCATTGGTATCTAGGGGGCAAACAGAGTACAAGGATATAATAAGCAAGGATATTGTTATCACATTTGCTACATTCTGGACACCGTCACAGTAGCTCAGTCGGTAGAATTCAAATAATTTAATAGGTAAACATGTAAAAGAAAATACTTTAAAAAGCATTGAATAAAACAAGGTATTTCAAACACAAATGAATAATTTATCAAAGATGATGATTATTTAAAATTGAATGCATCGAACAAATTTGACCAGACGCCTGTTTTAAAAATTATTTTTTGTACATTATTAAACAAAAAGAATGTGCAATAAAGGGAAGATCAAATAAAATATCTCTATAGAATCGAGAGGAATAGATTATTGTAATTGTAGAGTTTACTTCGGTTTATTTCAGTGTTGTGATTTTTTTTTATATATAAGACTACGTGTGTGGATTTATACTAAATATTTCTGGTATATATATATATATATATATATATATATATATATATATATATATATATATATATATATATATATATATATATATATATATATATATATATATATATATATATATATATCAATGTAGATTTAAGTTTCTCGACCTCTGGAGGGTAGGTTAGGGCCACAGTAGAATATGAAAGAACATATCTATTTTTTTCAATCTTCCTGAAAAAAGCTTCCAAAAGCAAGCATCTCCAGGTAGTTTAGTTATAAATTTTGTTCCATATGTTTTTTAAGTCAGACTCGAGGGAGTCCAAAGAATCCCAAGGATCTGACGAAAATAGTTTAAAAGCAGACAAAGCGTTGACGATCAGTAAAGCTCAAAAGAGTGTGAATGTTGTTGATACAGACACAATGACAATACCAGAAGAAGAGGAATTGCCACATATAACTGACATGAAGCCAATTTCACCGGAAACAGAATGCCCAGATAAGGCTGATGATATATGTTGGGATATGGAGGAACATTGCAACGGTCCCATCTTTAATATTGTGGTAAGGGCAACACGGTTTATGCATTTACCGCGCACCCCCGATTGCGATTAGTACAGGTATCTCAGGACGAAGGTGCGTGCCCCGCGGGTAGAAAATACAGGTAATCCTCGCAGCGCGTTGCAACCTATCAATTGTAGGTAGGAATATGTCTTGGTCTAAAAGTGAATTTTTCTTCCTTGGAAATTATAAAACAAAACAAAATTAAACGAAACAAAGTATGCAGAATGAAAGAAAGATGATAAATGCTACAATAATAAAATTAAAAAAAATATAGATGCTGAAATAATAGTAATTTTTGTACAAACGCAAAATATACATTTTAAATGAAATATACTCTTATATAATAATAATAAATGTAACTTCGTCCTGGCAATTTTGAAATGAGCTATTTAAGAGTGAACTTTTCTTAACGTGCATAGAGTCAAATTCAAGCTAAGTGTTTACTCTACGATCTTCGATACAAATCACTGTAGGTGATATTTTATTCGAATATGCAAGTTAATATACCCGATAAACCTTTTAGGATATTCTATAACGACAAATATTTTTCGTTGTGTGGTTTGTAAATTTATGGAGTTGAATTTAAAAATGTATCTATCGTAGCTTCAATTTAATAAACGGGGGGGGGGGGAGGGGTCATGAATTAAGTTTCCTGACATAATTTAAATATAAGAATTCGGGTGTATTACTGTTATTTTCATTCCCAGAGTCACCTGTGAAAAGCCACTCTTCGGGCGGTGATTACATGTATTTCCTTAGGCAAGTTCTGCAGTTGGAATGGTTTCAAATATTTTGTGTGCGTTATTTGATGGTCATCTAGTCCGTAAGATGAAGACCCCTAAACGTGCTACGTATGTTGCACAAAGGGTAAACGCTCATTACACAGATTGCACGAAATGCTGCACAGTTTATAACTTTTGCACATAATGCTTTGCATGAAAGGTTGCACAGTTTGCACGAAAGGGTGCACGAAACGCTTCGTTCAGTACTCAAGCGAGGCCTTGGCCTCGATCTGCATTTTCTGTTCGGAATCCCTCGGACATTATTTAAATTATTACGAATTCATAATAGATTAATTAAGAAACGCAATCTGCGTTAAATTAAAACTCTTACACAAGTACTCAAACCGATAGAAATATTAAATATTCAGTTTTATATAATAGATAATTTACATTTTGTTTGCAATCCCTTTGTTTTAAGGTGAAATGCCTATCATTGTATATGTACAAACTTTTCGAATTCATGACCATATGTATATATATATATATATATATATATATATATATATATATATATATATATATATATATATATATATATATATATATATATATATATATATATATATATATATCGGTGTATACGGTCTGCAAGTAGGAATGCGTTGAAGTATCGAGGTATCGCGGTCAAGAATTACAAACCGTAAGTGGAGCTCGGTCTACTGCATAATGCCGCATTCAAATCAAGTCATATCTATTTTTATTTAGTTTTCTTTTTAATACTCTTGATGGTACTGCCCGGTTTGTGTTTTTTAGTTGAGGTGGGGAACCTATTGTGAAAGTGATGAAGATTGTAAAGGTAAGTTTCTTTTTAATATTTTTTGAATAGAGCACACGTATAACTGAGATATATATTCATAAAATTTTAAGGAAATGTTGCTCTTCTATCATAATATTGTCTCTTACTAACAAAATTATTCTGAATTTGAGAAATACTTAAGTTCTAGTTTCAAAAATAAAAATTCTACAGTAATTTTTCATGAGAACTCGAAGTTCATGTAAAGTTTCAAAGTATCATCATATTTCTACACTGGACAAATATGGTGAAATTTCTAACAAAAAAATTTATTCAATCCTCCATTTTGTTCCTGACATGTTTTTTACCACAGCTAAGCAACAATACACGACGCAGCACTGATAAGCCGTTGTATGAAAAAACAACGGAATATAGAAGCGCAGAAATAGACACCATTTTAAACTGAATTCATTTTTGTGAATGAAAAAAGTAACGTTAACGAAGTGATCGTTCTCAAAAAATCTACAAACATTACGAATCTATGAACAAGGCATAGAACACGGAGCCCTGGAAATTCCAGAGGTGTAATCAGGTGACTAGGAATAAGCATCCCCCGTTGATTCAGTCACACTCGTCATGTATTGATCAGGTAGATTCGATAGTCAAATTTAGTATAAAATAAAAACAAAACGCCTAACAATTTGCAGGAGACACGTCAGCCAAAATACGACCCGGTGATATGTTATTTTAATTTTTGAACAAGGTCATTATTACGACCATAGAATCTACTATATGCTGACTTTAAAAAATATAATATTATTGCATGAATTTAATAATTACATTGTATAATGATTTTAGCTTAGTCACTTGATTTGACCTTCATGCATATGATAAATACAAAAATGTGTACTGCATGATGTTATTCGAAAAAACTCATTTGTAGTTTTTGATATTTATTTAAAGTTTGGCGTATCTGGTCGTGGTGACATAATTTATTACAAAGTTGGGAACGGACGCCTGGTCGTTTCCCCGACAACAATCAACAACAAAAGTGGCAAACCCAAGAGGGCTTAATTGTGCACTGGGTAAAGTTCTCGAATGCACAACGCCATGTAATATGGGTAAAATGACCAATATCCCATTAACAATGTTATCAGTGTCAACTGAATGGACCAATATTCAATCAAAAAGGTTATCAAATGCAATGTCAAATGAATGCAATATGGTTCAATGGGCCAATATCTCATTAACAGTGTTAGCAATGTCAAATACAATATTGTTCAACGGGCCAATATCCCATTAACAATGTCAATTGGACATACATCTACAATTTTTTTTCACTAAAAATGCTTGATTTTTAATTCTGTAAGCAATTCTGTTACAGTATCACTTCGATATTATTTGTGCAAGCTGTAATTTTTTGTCCCAGAATTCTCACAAGGGATAGGTTAAGAATGTATATTAACTAATACACTGTTCACACAGAGAGTTTAATACGCAGTAAATTAATGCGAAGTAAAATAATGCAAATCAAAGTAATGCGAATTAAATTGCGTTCACACCACAGCTGATGCGAAGTAAACTAATGCAAATTAATTGTTTTATTTCTACAGTAGGGCTATATATTCAGCAAGGCTATTATGAAGTCATTTTCAAATCACGTCACCTTTTGCAGAGCAGATCCATTTGACACAATGTCAAAGTGTCTGTACACATTTTAGTGATTAACATAATTTTCCTTTGTTTTTCAATAAAAAAAAAAATAGCAGAAGTACCCATATCTGACCATGTGGCATGTGACTTAATTTTGATATTATGCATGCGTCAAAAAAAAAATTAATTCGAATTAGCTTCGCTTAGCGTTCACACGGAGCTAATTCGAAGTAATTTAATAATACGGTTTATAATTGCCTAGCATAGCATTATAGAAAGGCCTGTTAAATGCACGGCTACCCGGAATGGGCTTCACAAAGAAATTTAATTTACATACTATGCTCTGAAGGGCTGTTATGGTAATTGTTCTTTTTTTTTTTTTGGATATGATGCTCGAAGATTTGAGATATTTCTAAAACCTTTGTAGCTGGAATTCGAATTTGCATTTTTATTGTGTCTATTTGTAAACCCAGGAACATTAAGCATATGGTCGACCCCTGAGCTTTCTCAGAGTTTAGGGGCATAACAATTCATTATACAGTCTTCGAAATGTGTTCACCAAGACTTTGTAATGACTAGTGCCTGCCCTTCCTGCAAAAATTAAAAGTCCAAATTGTGATATGTTGTACCTAACCCTCTTTTTTTCTCACCATCCAGAAATATAGAGAATGTTTAAAAAAAAATGCATAATATGGAGCAGCAAAATGGCAACAGATCGTCTATGTAGTTAGCTCCCCTCAAAAAACTCCTAGTAGTTCATAGTCCCCTGGGTATATGGGTGTAAGCCTAAATGTCTGGATTCGCCAAGAGCCCCCCCCCCCCCTCCTCCACAACTTGTATGTTGTATCCACAACTGTGTCAAAAGATGTGCAGTTAATTGTTGTGTCCCTCAGGTCCACGTATGCGTTAATAATACATGTAGATAGCGGTCGATAGGACAAGCGTGTGATCATTCGCTAACCGCCATCACTTTTGGGTACCACCCAGATTGGGGATTTATGAAGGTTAGGCGTCAATGGGTCTAAAAATGGAACCCCCCCCCCCATGTGACTCTCGTCTATATCTTTCTTTATTTTAGCTTGCAAAATGTCCCCGTACTGATTTGCAGATGCCAATTCATTTGAAAAAAGAAATAGTTCTTGGTCCTAAATATAGTAACGTAAAACCCAGTTTGAAACCAATGTCCAGAAAAAATGGCTGATTGCTCCTCTGTGTAGTTTTGAAGATACTGTGAAACTACCTGAATTATAGAAAATTGAAATGAATGATGTGAATTTTCATGTTGTGTGATGTGGTTGTGCAAGTGTTGATGGATGCATGGTATTACATTTCATGCATCTTTGAGCAAATGGGCAAATTATCCCTTAACATGAGCCTTTATTATCAAAATCAAACTTTTTTTTTTATTTTGGAAGGCTACTTATCCGTGACCACCCTTTCTGACATCGTTCAATTTTGGCATTGAGCCCGATGTTTCCATGCACGTGTCATGAATTTTAATTCAAAATTATGTTTCAAAAAATTGTCTCTTTATCAAGCTGCTTAAATATGCAAAGAAATGTTACCAATATAACAATATTTTTATAAGAATGCTTTAAGTATCCAGTTTAACATCACGAAGCAATCAATGTAAAATAATAAAAATAATATGGCAAACGGTGTCAGTTGAAAATTATACCAGTAAACATTCAATCCGATGAAAATATGCGCAATCAACGTACATATTTAACTAAAAATGGCCAAATATGCTCTATATGAGGAGACGCTGCCAATACAAAATTGAAAATCTTCTATCACATGAACCAAACTACCAATGTGTTCGTCTGCTAGATTAAAAAAGAGGAAATTACGTTTAGGACTTTGGTTTATGTAGTCACTGTAACGTATCTTATAAAGGACTTTGGTATGCGCAACCAAGTTTGTTCCGCGAGTCACATACGCAATATAAAGTAATAGCCATATACATGTATCATAATGATTTAAAATCCCATCTTCCTAGATGTTGCTTGAATATGGGTTATTATTCAAAATGATTACCACGCACTTTTCTGTTCATTCAAGAAATGTATCTTATGTAAAGTCATTATCAGCATGAGTAAAATTAACACGTACATATATGCATACACTGTACATGTGTTTGGATTTGCTAATATATATTTTTTCTTTATTTAGAGGTTGATCCATGCCAGAGTGGAAAATGCTGTGAGATTCCTTGTGAAAATGTGCAAAAGATGTGCCGGTACCCAACAAATTATCATGATCTTGCGAATTCTTTTAGTCCAGAGCGGCTTCGGGATTCATAAGAACTCAATGATCAAGTGCTTATACGGCAAATAATTGAAAATTTCTTTTATTCAGAGTTGATAATAAAAAGTTTTCTAATTGACGACATCCATGTAGTTTTTTTTTTTTCGAGATCGGGTCTTCCAACAATCTGTTGGAATTCCCATGGGTACCAATTGCGACCCGTTATTAGCAAATAAATTGCTGTGTTCACAAGAACAAGAATGTATTCAAAAACGTCTACTAGAAGAAAACACTTGCTTTGGCCTTCAACTCGACATTTAGATATATTGACGGCGTATTATCAATTAACAATTGTTACTTCCATTCATATGTCGACTCGATATATCCCAATCAGCTTGTAATAAAAGACACCACAGAGTCTGACACATATGTTTCATATTTAGACATATTACTAGAAAAGATGTAAATGGTAACTTTACAACCAAGCTTTATCACAAACGTGGTGCCTTCAACTTTTCAATCGTCACCTTCCCTTACTTTTGTAGCAATATAGCTTTATCACTTGGATGTGGGGTTTATATCTCTCAGTTGATTTGATACGCATGAGCGTGCTCTAAATGACGAACAATTTCTAAAGCGATGCGAGCTATTGACAAACAAGTTGATGAAACAAGGATATCAACAGTCTCCTTTAAAGCCATCATTTTGCATGTTTTATGAGTGAAAACATGACCTTTTCACCAAATACAATCTATCACTTGGTAAAAATGCTGATTGAAATTTTTCATACTAATAGTTAGGCCATTATTTACATAGTTACTGAATTGTCTACAGACTCTTTCCGTTTTTCCCGATCATGACAAAGAGCTCACGGCTGGTGTAACCTGTTGGAAGGGGATGCTCACTCCTCCATGGCACCTGATCTAATCTCTGATGGTTTAGATGTCAGTGTTTGCCTGTTCCTGATTTGTATTGTTTGAATGGACTATTGAGCCAGAAACTGTTGTTACCTCCATATTCCATAGACTTAATGCGAATAGTCTTACAAAGCAATACAATTAAGCTTCTTAAGGGAAATATCGGCGATTTTTTTAGATACAAAAATACATTTTTTTACAAGAGTAGACAAATAATTTTAGTGCTTTACTAATATTAGATAAATTAATACGGTTAAAAACTACATGTTGAGGACGATTAGATTTTTTATGTAGATTTGTCACGTGATGTCGCAGTTCAGTTAAGGCTACACGTGAAGATAATATGGTAATGAGGTCATAATGAGGTTTGATGTCCTGACAGTTGCTCCGCCTTGGTAGATCTATATAAGGAAATAGAGCTCAAAGAAAGCTATTTAATGATGATTGCGAGAATTTGTAATGAATATCTGTATTTTCATGTTTAAATTAATTAAAATTAGTGTTTTCTCTTATATATTCATTCGGCAAAGCAAAAAAAAAAAAAAAAAAAAAAAATGCACAATATAACACTACACACTCAGTAATGAACAAACATAATTACTTTTACGCTTAAACTCATGCTACGGGCACGTTTTAACATTTCACATATACAATTTGAACAGTCTCGTGTATATAAATAGAGTAGGCTCAATAGGTATAAATACAGTGCATTACTTTTCAATATAATTAATGTAATTGAATTCCACTTCCCCTGACGGGAGATTCAGTCACTACGAATAAACCTATCTAACCTTCCATGGACGTGATTGTGGAACAACCCTCACTGGTCAAGGAAAACGTGCGCTACCCAAGACAAACCTGACATCACCTTATACAGGTCTGGACGATTTCCAAATATGGAAGTTAAGAACGATAACTAAAAGTTGCTATAAATATACATCATATATACGTATATACTTTTCTGCCCAATCAGACAATAGCATTTTTACACACCCCTAAACGTATTTCAAAGGAACAAAAAACAAAACATGTGCTTTTGTTTTGTTTTTTTTTTCCTCCAAAAGATTTTTTGACAAAGAATCTTTAGAAGTAGGATGAAAAGTTTGAAAGAATAAGGTATTCCCAACATATTTACCGTGAACAAACCCGACATTTTCATCTCGGAAAAGAAAAAAAAAATAATGCATGTAGCTATGCGATCGTTTACGGAGGAATAGATCACACCGACAAGGTAGTATCAAGTACAATTATAACATTTAGCAGAACATAGTTTTATGATGGTAAATATAATTTTGCGATAACTCGTAGTTTTTAAGTGTATAGCTCTACTTCACGCAAGTATTCATCGTAGAGACTACATGTTTCAAAATAACACAGGTTTCATGAGCGCCGAATATCATATATATATTAAATAGACATAAAGAAAGGTGAAAAACATGGAGAAAAGGTAATGTTCATGAATGCTTTTTATCACCATATCTTGCACCTTGCATATCAGAAACTGCGTGGACGATTTTGTAATAAACACTCAGGAAATAATTAAGACTCTTATATTCCAATGCGAATTTTTTTTATGTCAGGCTCTAAAACTGAAAATCTGTCGTATTTATGTCAAATTTCTTAACAAAATTTAAACTTTTTTGCTTGCTACCTCGTAGTGACATATTTTTGATCTCACTTAGAATTTATATTAAGCTTTCAAGTCGTGTTTGTTCACGGTAGAATTGTCAAATATACTATATTATTCCTAAATTTGCATAAAGTTTACATAAAGTTTGTTCTTAAAAATCTTTTGCGCAAAAAACCACGTGTTTTGTTTATTTTCTCATGGGTTTGTCTAAATGCCGTTATCTGATTGGTCAGAAGGACTAGCTCCTTGTTTATTCTGTGTATTTATAGCAATTCACGGTTATCGTTCTTGACTTCCATATCCGGAAATCGTCCAGACCTGTTCTATAGCGACTGGCCAAATATTTAAACTCAACTGAGCGTCACAATGGGGCTCCTTACAAGATAAAACACTATAATGCAAACAAGGATCACCACAGGATAATACTAATAAAATTGAAATAAATGTACACGTAACAAAATCGATTGTGACAATTAGTAGTTGTAAGCACTTATCTATTGTTTTTTCCCGTCTGGGAGCTATTTGGGGAAAACAAACAAATCCTTTGCTACTCGGAGTAACACTGAATACATGCTAATCTTAATAAATTGCACATTATTTAAAATCCTTATTCTTTATTCTTAATGATTCAATTATCATTAAGAAGGGTATTCCATATTTCCATATCATTGCTATATTTATGTATCTGAAACTTTTTTAATACCTTGTAGTTTTGGGTCTATTCATTTCTGCAGTTTTAGTACATCTAAAATTAAATGAATTCTTTCTAATTATAACAAGATCCTAAAGACAGGATAATTGAAATGTTTTCAATGCCTTTTATCTCATGTTATTTAGATCTCTGGTCAATATTCAATACTATTATCCCAAGTACGGGGAGGGCTTGCGATAGAATTATGTCCTCCAAATGTATATGTTGCTTAAGATATTTTCGAAGTCGTTGTTAATAGCGAGCGCAGCGAGCGGCGCGAAGCGCCGCTCGTCACTGCGAGCTCTAACGACAACGCCTGGGCGAAGAGAAAATTCGGACTACTGCACATTCATTCCATAGAATTTTTTCCGCAGTAATTCTGACCCACAATGCATCGCTTCTTGTTCTCGCTGCTAACTTCGTTCACGCGGTGACAACAACTAAAATTTCACAAAAAATAAACTCACCTTAATTTAATGGCTATTGCATGCTGATAGTAGATTAAACGTTCTTTGTTAAAATATTTGCACTTTTTAAACTTTGTTTATGGAAATGCAGCTAACATACGACGTCATGTGACGTGTCACAGTTTAGACGTTCCAAATGTCTCGTGCGGTTTGAAGAGCCGGATCTTAAAATGAAGTGAACAATGCGCTCGCCCCAACGGTCGCACCGTCAACATATTAAGGGTCAGTGTAGATTTAAACAGATACAATAAATAAGTATAGAACTGTGTCTCAATTCTTTCAGGTTTACAATAAGTTCTCTATAATATGAATCTTCAAGAGAACGTCTGGTGGATTAGAAACTTTCAAATCCGCGCAGAAGAAAATGCACCACTAGTAAATACTCCGAATGTTGATCACGAAACCATTTTCAATTATGTTTTTAATTTATTCTTCAATATGTAAAGACCGGTCATGGTAGCCTGGTGGTAGGGCGATCGCTTCGTGTTCGGGAGACCCGTGTTCGATTCTCGTTTGCTGCGTTGCGCCAAAACTAAAACGCAAACATAGGTAGTGACTGTTTATTTGCCAAGCACACGGCACTAGAAGTGAAAGTCATGGATCTTTCGGATGAGACCCACAAAACCGAGGTCCCGTGTCACGGTAGGCGTTGGCACTTTAAAGGACCCTCACTGCTCAAGACCCTGAGTGCCGAGTAGAGTATAGATTTGAAGCCGTTCAACGGCATATTGTGTAGTCTCTGTATGAGTGAAAAACTCTCGATTGGGACGTTAAAACAACAAACAATCAATGCAATATGTAAAGAAATTAGAATGAATATGACAAGAGTAAGTATCATTTTGAAAAATAGAGTAAGATTCCAGAAATCATTCATATGTTAAGGTAAAAAAAAAAAGAACAAAATATCAAAAAAAAAAAAAAAAAAAAAAACTGGTGGTGGTAGGGGTTGGGTTTCCAAACACTGGCAGTGGTGGAGGGATTTCTCTACCCTTCCTTCTACGCTGGTTGTCCCAAAAAAAAATGCGAACATTTTCTTTTTTTCTTTCTTTCGTTTTCTTTTTCTTTTTTTTTTTTTTTTACTAATGTCATAAAGGTGAAAATTGGCATACACAATAAACAAAATACTTGAAACTCAATATCTCTAAAAAATAACATGTTTCTCAGTCAAACAAATCTTACAAAAACACTTACAACATTGGATAACTTTATTCAACATCCAGAATTTTTTTGTTAAGTTGGCATTGAAAGGAATGTGTAGGTCTGAAGATATACATTAATCACCATTTCAAAATATGATAAATTGTTCCTGCTAAAAAGAAGCTTTATAAATTTTATTTTCCACGAAAAAGTAATTAGAAAGATTTATTTCGGTCTCAGTCCAAGGAGATCAGAGACATTGAATACGTGTGCTGCGTTATTAATAAGCAAGATAAAGATAT